ATATTACAATTGAATAACAATAGGAACAATGCATTAACAATCATTAACAACATTGCCAATAACAGACGTCTACCAATAAACTATTCCTAACATTTAATAAACAGATTTGTCATGTAACAGAGAGAGGCAAAAAAAAATACTGAATCGGTAGTTTCAAATGTTACTGATTTGAAGAACATAATAAAAGATATATAGATAATATATATCTGTATATTGTAAGTGGTTCTGCGTATGTCAGAGCTGCAATAATAAAGACTAATAAAAAAAAAAAAAATAGGTTGACAATTACGATGAAAAAAAAGATTTTAATTTGTAGCAAATATTTTACACCAGGAAGTTTTCTTAAAGTTGGTTGGAAAATTTTTCTTCGAAAAGATGCTTTTTCCAACGACGACAATAGTTTGGTTTTTCACGGGAAGGAAAATCTGTGTCAAGGTTATTAAAATAATTGATTTATAAAAATTTTTGCTTTATGCTTTTTCTATATCATCATCATAAAACAGTATACAAGAAAATATATATTACAATTGAATAACAATAGGAACAATGCATTAACAATCAATAAACTATTCCTAACATTTAATAAACAGATTTGTCATGTAACAGAGAGAGGCAATTAAATAGTTAAACCGAGCAACATAAAATGAATACTGAATCGGTAGTTTCAAATGTTTTTAAAAGATCGGCCAATGAAGATTTATTAAATCTCAAAGAATATATAACAGATAACTTTAACGGATTAAATAATCATTATTTTTGTTTACTTAGCTTATTGCAAAAACATATATAAATGTACGTTCATTTCATTTCGCAAAAACCACAAATCAAATAAAGATTCGTTCTAAATTTCCTAATTTTATACATTTCAAGGGATAATAAAATCATTTATTAATGAAAAGATTTTGAATTGTTTGATTTACTTAATAATTATATTTGTTTCATATATATATAAAACATTCTTTTGCTATCTATTGGTAAAATCTGTGTTTTTTATTTGGTCATTATGTTTCCATAAAACTTGTCATTCTAACATCTTCATTATTTTATATTTCATTTATTTTTTTATCTATGAAATTATTATTTTCAACATATTTTAACATACTTTAACATACTTCAATCATATTTCATTTATTTTATTTATTTATTTATTTAGCACAACTGACCAGAGGGCCCAACGGACCACTTACCCAATCAGGAAGAGAAAAAGAAATGTTATAAAGTTAGGCAATTGGCAGACAGATGAAAAAGTCAACACACAAAATAAGAAAATATTAAACATAAATTTGCATAACCCTAACCCTAACTCCGTCATTAGTGCATTGATCGAAAAATAGGTAATTTTTAAAACGATCGGTTGAAATACATACGAACATCAGATAATGTTTAAAAAAAACCATTATTAAACAAAATACACAGTATATTGAGTTTTCAAATTGAGTTTTCACAATTGATTCATTTAATTGAAACAATAATGCATCAACAATTATTTCAATTCTTCATTGTTTTGGAATGTGTTTTTTCATTCAAAACATTAAACAATTGGTCTTCAATTTTTTATGCCTTTCATAATTAGTTTTTGAAATTATGCTGACGACAAATAATTTCTAAATATAAATCAAACCCCATTATTGAAAAATGTTCATTATACCTTTTTATATATTCATCAACTAACAAAATTATTTTTAAAACCTTCTTTTCCTAACATGAATGCTTTATTCAATTTAAACATGCATTTTTTAAAATCTCTTTATAATACTCAGTATTTTTTCTGCAAGAGTTTATTATTGCATTCTCATCTGCATTTTTAAATATCTGATCATTAATCTACATCATAATTTTACTGCAGCAATATATTAACTAGTTTCAAGTCATCATTATATCAACTTTTTTATTCCAGAATGTAAACTTATCAGTTTTAACTCTTTCCTTACATTATTTGTCAGTTTTAATTAATTGTGAGTAATTGTCAGTAATTATGAGCAGTTATACATTTGGTATACATTCTCATGAATAATTTACTTCTTCATTATAATTCAATAATTTACTTTTAGCGATTAAAATAAGGATAGTTTTATATTTAAGTGCAAATCATTTACTTAAGTCAATGGCAACTAATTTGACAACAAAGAGACAAATATTTAAAAATATTTGATTTAAAATTGTAAATGAAATAAAATGATATCTTTTTTCCATAGAATAAACGTTTATAATAATAATAAAATAAAACGTGGACAAATTAATATGAATGAATGATTGTGATTGATTATCAGAATATCCATTGCAGGGATAACAGTGCAACTTGTAATTTTGGAAATTAGTATCAAAAAAGCCCAACGCAACTGAAACACACCAGCAACGTTAGCAATCAAGCATTACCAATTTATGTTGTTAGTTTTTTAGAGCGAAATTCTTATTTGGTAATAACTCAACTACAGTAGCTATGACGATAATCAAAAACTAGACGATATTCTATATTCTAAACATAGACAAAAAGCTAAATGTTTTTTAAAATTAATTTTTTATCGACGTTTTTAGTTCTATGGATCAAGATTTTTTGCAAAAATTTATTTTAACCGATTTATGAATATATATATATATACATGAGAGATATATTGCCATATCCATTATATATATCCATGAGAACGTCTCTTGATTTAATAATTAAACATAAAATAACACCAAAATAACACTTAATATCTTGCAGTAGAAAAATATTACATGAAATCAATGTTTGATTCTTTAATTATATTAGGTAATGTGTTCCACAGACGCATTGAAACAATTAGAACAGAATTAATAATAAAAACTGTTTTTGGTTTGGGAAAATAGAAGGTTTGATTGTTTCTAAAATAATTTTGTCTAGAATTAATAAAACTTTTTAAAATATTCACTAAAATAGAAAAGAGTTATTTAATTTATAAAGTTAAAAAAAAACATAATGTTCATAATATATGTAAATCTTCTACTTGCCAAATGTTTGAGGATTTATAATAACTACTTATACGATCAAATTTTTTTACATTAAATAAAATTCTAACAAAAAAAATTTTGATTCAATTTCAAAATATGCAAATGAGATTTTGCACTGTTACCCCAGATTGAAACACAATAAATAAAATATGGAAGAACTAATATATTATATAAAGAGTACAAAATAAAATTAGGAAATCTTAACTTAAGACGATAAGTAATAGTTATTCGATGCTTTACTAGATATTATTGGACTGAAGAAATAGAGACAGTCTTTTAAAAATAATTCTTTCAATAATTTTTGATGAACTTGAGATCAAAAAAATGGAGCGATAATTATTGACTTCTTGTTTATCATCAGATTTGAATAAAGGAATTTACCTTAGATAATTTAAGGCAGCTAGGAAAAAAAGAGTTAGAAAAAGAAAGGTTAATTAGATGCAAAAGAGGAGTAATAATGTTTGTCATTGTTTTCATTAGTAAGGAATTAGAAATTTGGTCATGACCAGAACTATTAGAATTACTAGTTAAATTATTTATGATATCCATTACATCAAAATTATTACAAGACAAATGATTTAAATACATGTAGATTTATATATTTCTTATAACTATAAGTTAAATGCGATGTATTACATGAAGAATTTATATCACACAAAGATGAAAAATGCTTGTTAAAATGAATACATAATGATAGCTCGTCATTAATAACAACATCTTCTACATTTAAAGAGTAATTTAAATTTGACCGAGATAATCCCAGGCATGATTTCAATAAATTCCAGGTTTATTTGCCATATTTTTATGCTAGTTAAATTGATTATGAAAGTATGACATTTCTGTAGTTATACAAAGATGAGTAAATAAATTTTTATATTTAATGTATTTTAAATCATCAGAGAGAGAATGAGTTTTTATAGACTTTTTGTAGAAATTATTTTTAGTTCTAAAAGATTTTAACAAACCGGTAGCGATTAATGGCTGCTTGAAATTTTGACGTGATTTAGTAAACGGACAATATCGTGTAATAGCATTATTAAAAATAGTAATAAAGTATTCAAAGGCAGTATTAGTATCAGTAATATTTAAGAAAAAGCTCCAGTCATGTAGAAAGAAGTTTAACTTAGATAGATTATGTAGTTTGAAGTTACGCGATAAAGTAGACATGCAAGTTGTTTTAGAAGAATTATTAAGTTGAAAGGAAGTAAAAATAGGGAAAGGATCAGAAATATCAGAGCATAAAACAGCTGATTTGTGTGAATTATGATTATCAGTAAAAATGTTATCAATAACAGAAGATGACGATGAAGTAACACGGGTAAGCAAACTTATTAATGGATTTGAATTATAAGAGAACATTAAATTTTTAAAAGCGTAATTACAGTTTATTTTAGAAAGATCAATATTAAAATCCCCTAGTTTATAGGTATAATGTTTTTTATGACAAAAATTCAATTTTGAAAACAAATTATTCAAGTCGTCAAGAAATAATTGTAAATTAAAATTAGGTGGTCTATAAATTACATAAATAAAACAGTTTAAATCATAAACTACACAAATTTCAACAATCAGTGATTCAAAGTACAAAGATCAGATATTGATGTCATCACGGATATTATATCTTAAAGGCTGGTTGATAAAAATGCCAACGCCGCCACCAGCTCTATTGCTACGATTTTGCATATAAAATTAAAGTTAGCTAAATTAATTAAATGATATTTATAATCAGTTAACCATGTTTCAGTAACACATATGATTGAAAAAATATTGTTACATAAATATAATAGGCTTTTAAGTTCGGTCATTTTGTTTATCAAACTTCTTGCATTAAAATGTAACATGAAAAATGAGTTTACATTATTTACATAATTTATAATTTTTTCAGGTAAAAGAAAGGTGATTGATTATTTAAAGAATTAAAAAAATTAACATCTGGATCATGAAATTCATCATCCAATCCATCATTGTCGTAAAAAGGTTCTACTTCGGTGAAGGATGTTGCTTGACCAAGATCAGCAGTGATGTTACAATCATTTAACGAAGCCATGGTTGAGGATCGATTTTCTTTTCGTGTTGTTGTCATAAGATTTTTTCGTATACGAGAAGTCCCATTCGCGAAGGAACGTGTATCTTGGCCAAATATCTGGATTAATCAGAGCCTCGTCTAAGAAATTTTCACTAGGTGACAAAGTTTTAAAAGTTTTGGAAATGATAATTATAGTACCAATTCTTTTCAAATCACGGGAGCCTAATAGATATTGCATCAACTTTTTAATGAAAACGAAGTTTTTTTCATGGAAGAATACAATTCTTCAATCTTGCGGTAAAAACATAGATTACAAGCCTAAGGAATAAGCTAATTTGAACCAGAAATGGGCTAATGACAAAACGTCTAATTTAAATTGTCAATAAAATATTGTTCATGATTTTGTTTATGTAAATGTTGATGCGTTAAAAATGCACATGCACTAACTCTTTTGTCAATTTGAAATAAGTAACTTTTTTTATTAACGACCCAGTATCACAAAAAAAACAATTGATGTTAAATTAGCTAATCACAAGTTATTTTCAGTGTTAAAAAACTTGAAGTTCATCATCTGGTAGAGTCGATCGTCTCGTTTTTGAAGAAAGAAAATCAGCCACCACTAGCCGAGGATCAAAATTTGCGGTACCTATAGCATTTAAAGCAATGCATAATCGGTCATTCACAGTATTTCTCGACATAGATGATCGAAGGTCGCTTTTTAATTCTGTATGGCATGAAATTACCCGTTCCGTGATCATGCTGTGAGGGCAAGTTATAAGAAATGTTTGAACCAGCTTGTTTAAAAGAGACGACAGTGTTGTTTTTTGTAGCAATAAGTACAACTTGGCAGTATTGCTTTCATGCGGCTTAAAAGATGAAGCACCAAATGATGAATAGTAACCAACAGCATCATCTACAAATTCTGAAACATAATTATCACCAAAAATATCTAATACAATTTGCCGACCGGCTTTGATCATTGCTTCAGCATTTTCAGCATTGGCAACATCTATCATTGCCTTTACTTGTAAATCCTGATCGACATCCAACCTTCTCTCAAGGAAGTTCTTTGCACATGTGATTACCTCAAGACGCACTGCTTCAAAATTTCATGGAAAGACGCTGAAGTACGTGGTCGCGTTTTTGCATCAAATCAGCCAAGGTAACAAACGTGCATTGAGCTTCTTTTTGTAAATCAGTGAACTGTCGCAAGATATCCAAAGCGACAGCACTCATGTTCAAGTTGAATGAAGTTTGGGACCAATCCTTCAGAAAACCTCTTGCTCTTTGCTTTTCATTATTTTTTTCATTATTTTCACCTTGTTGTACAACTGTCTTCCTGTGAGCGCACATCATCTGATGATTAGACAGAACTGCAAGTACAACATTGGCAAGGTGCTCCGCAAAACGAACTTCATGATGTCGTGGAAAATGTTTAGCAGTCTCACCCAAATTTGCAGCAATTTCATGCAGGTTTTCTTGTCGGTAGCTTGACCACGAAAATAAGTAGCGACATTTTTTACATCTGTTAACCAATGACGAAACTTCGGAACCACATTTTCAACGCTTTCAAAAGCCAGGACAGATCTGTGAGCTATGCACCAAAATGTCAACATGTTGTGCCCTAAATACTCAGACATCTTTACCCACAACCCCCCGTGACGTCCAGTATTTGAATTTTCCTCATCTGTCGTAAGACCCACCATCTTTGCTTTAATGACATCTTCAATTTCAAGATACTGGAAACGTTTCTGCAAAGCATCGACCATCCCAATTACTCCTCTTAACTCACTGTGGCATTCGCCAAGAAAACTAGCTTTCATCTCAAAATTAGTGTTGTCCATGTATCTGGCAGTAACAAACAGACTGTCAGCATTGTATTTATCAACAGATTTGTCAATTTTTAGGGCGACACAGTCTGCGATTTTCAATGCTTGAATAACTCTGCTCAATTCATGCTTGGACGCAAATGATAATATCTCTCTGTACCGGTCAGGATTTCTGTAATGCAATGCTGACTGGGGTGGATTAAACGCCACAAAGTCACAATCAAGACCGTGATCAATGTATTGCTTAACTTGGTTTTTTGCATGCATTTGTGCTAGTGAACGACTTGGCCAAGACCAAGCTGACAGCGTTTTGGTTACTGAATCATTGTGTACATCAACTGTAAGGCGAATAAGAGTTGATATCAGTTCAATATTGTGTTGTTTCAAAATTTTTACCCATGGATGTTTGTCAGATTGTGCGGTCCATTGCTTTCGTGCAAGATCGGCCCGTTGTGCAGCACTATGAGCACCACCTTTCAAGTGATCAATAATTCTTTGAAGCTGTTGCATGCCGTCACACCGAACACCATCAGCTATTGGGACAGTACCATTTCGAGCATACTTTTTAGCTTCAGAAATGTTATCGTAGCACAGTTTGCATTTTAGACCTTTACGAGAACCCAGTTTTATTGCTTTCAGTTCTGAATGGTGTCTCTGCAACCAAGCAGCATCAAGTTTGAAGCCTTTGTACCACTGTCTAAAAGGTGCAAAATCTTTGGAGATGATCTGATCAAAAGGTAACGATGTATGTGTGACTTGAGAAACACATTCTGCCTGTACAGGTACTTTTGATTTTGCTGCTGAGATACTATTTGTTACTGATGAAGAGTGATCAGGTAAAGTGGTGCCATAAAAGATATCCTCAGGGTCAAATTGTTCATTCTGATTAGGGACTGTTGTTACAATAGAATGGTTAAAAAAACTGCCTATTTTTCTTTGTTTTTTAGGATAATGAGAGCATGATTTTGCTATATCATTCTGTGCAGTAGTTGCTGACATTTTTAACGTAAACCTTCCTGCAAAAAATAATTTAACGAAAAATTTAATTAATTAAAAACTGTCTATTTTAAAATTATAAATATTAAAACAACATTTGAATATTTAAAGTTTCGTCTTCAAGAACCGGTATTTTATCTATAAAAATTATTCACTAACTTTACTCAAATGTAAAACTTACAAATGTTAAAATTTTTAACTTTAATCTAGTTGTTTATTTGTTTATTTATCAAATTGATTGATCTAAGAAATTGGTCTTTTAAAAATTAAAAAAAAAACTTTATAATTTATTAATAAAATATTAACGATAATATTATAATCAATAAACCATATAAATAAAACTAGTTGGAAATTTTTGAGAAAAAACTTTTTTTTTGTAATCAGTTTAGCTAAATTTAAAGTTGAAATCACAATCAAAACAAGTAAATCTAAGCTACTGCAAAGAATTAAAAAAATTTTAAAATATGTAATATAATTTTAATAATTGTGTTATGTTAATTTATTTTTTTATTTTTTTTTGAATTCATTCAAATCCATGATTTAAACAAATTCAAATTTTGTGGAATTAAAACAAAACCCAAAAATTTTAAACATT